AACTTGTGTTTCCAGGGATTCCCACTTTAGTCCTGTCCCGCTTCACTCTCCTTGGCAGCATAAATCTGGCCCTTGCTCTTTTCATAGTAGCAATAGAATGAAAAACTGGTGCCTCTCCCTGGAGTCCATTGCTTACCTGGCCCTCTTATCTTTTCTCTCCCAGGTGAAGAGTCACAGTTTGAGATGGACATTTAAAGGACCAGCCATTGGAATGAACAATGCCTCTGGGCCCCTCAGGTCTTTCTTGAGGGGCCCTTCTTGGAAGAAGAAGATATCAGCTGGGTCTTATGAATGTTATCACCCTGGACAGGCAATGGGTGTGTGGGGTCAGCCATGCTGGCCCTCTCCTCTCTCACTCAGGGCACCTGTTCCCCCTTCCCCTTAGTGAGCACCAACAGATACCTATATGTGCCTCTGTGGATGCAGGAGCTGCCATCTCAAGGGAAGTGACCGTCGTGAGCACACCCCTGCAGCCAAAGAGCCAGAAGTGGACACAGAGGAGCCTCCTGGTCTCGCTCCTTCAGCCCCATCCTCTGGGATGTCCCTTCCTTAGATTGGTGTGCAGTGGGAAAGTATCCCTAGCCCTTCTTCCCCTAGATAGGTAATAAAGGCCACCTTCACCCTGGGGGCAAGAGTTAGCCTGTCTGAGCTCTTTTTCAACTTCATGTGATAACACCAGCTACTATTCATACAGTGATTATAAAGCTCTTACCTATCCCACATTATCTTGTTTAATCCTCGCACTGATCCTGTGAAGTAAGTACAGCAAGCATTGTTATCCTCATTTTACAGGTGAGAAGATGAGACAGAGGGGACTGGGCTGAAACTTGATTTCAGGTGTTTCAGTGGTGGGAGCTGCCTCTCTTATGGGCTCATTCCCCACCCTCCACCCACCTACCCCCCCATATGTTAAGTGATCCTGTCACCCTGTCCCTCAGGTTCCATTCCATATGAGAGTCAAAAGAAGAGGGTCTTGGGTCTTGGGTCACAGCAGAAGCTATTGGATCTTTGTCTACTAGGTGTTTGTCAAGCGACCCCTTTATGTGAGCTATGATAGAGACCAGCAACCTGAGACAAGCTCTCTGCCTTGGGGATGTCACTGAAACATAAGATTTGCCTATAAGAAAAGGTATCATAAGAGATAATAAGATTGTGTATGATTGGTTACCAGGATTACTCCATGCAAGTGTTATGCATGTACTGGAGGCTTCATAGTAGAGGTACAATTGCAGCTAGACTCTGCAGAATGAATGAGTGGGTAGGGGGAGGCAGAGATAGTGTTACAGAGATCAGGTGGTATTGGGGAACCAGGATGTCCAAGGATAGGAAATTAAGAAGCCCTCTTTGGCCAGAGCAGACAACTTGTGTGCATGGGATGGCTTTTATAAGGCCCCAAAAGGGCTAGATTTCTAAGGATTTGCATGCCAAGCTGATTTCTTTGCTTAGAAGCAATAGGTGTTTCTCATTAAAGGATATGCTGGGGGATGGATGGCATTTGCATAAAGAGGCAGTGGCTGACATGGATTTTACAAGCTCCAGGCTCATAACCAAACTCAAAACAGAAGCTCTCATGGCATAGTGCCTGAGCCATTTGATTGCTAACCAGAAGGCTGGCAGTTCAAACCCACCAGCCACTCCTCAGAAGGAAGACTGGGCAATCTATTTCCTTAGAGATACCACCTCGGAAACCCAATGAGGAGTCACTATGAGTCAAGATCCACTCGACAGTAGTGAATTTGGTTTTTGGAGGCTCACAATACTTACAAATCGGCTGTTTGGGGAGCAGCAGTTATTTAGTGGTCAGGTCCCGTGACTAGCCTTCTCTGTAGCTGAGTAAAGAAGCACTGGTAGCACAGTAGTTAAGTGCTTGGCTGCATGTTGAATGGTACCCACCAGCTGCTCCATGGGAGAAAAGTCCTGGTGATCTGCTCCTGTAAAGATTACTGCTTAGGAAACCTATGGGACCACTATGAGTTGGAATGTACTTGACAGCACACAACAATAACAACAGCTGAATAGAGGTTCAGAGAAAACAAGGGAAACCCTTGATGAGATGGGTTAACACAACAGCTACCACAATGAACTCAAACACCAACAGTCATGGCACAGTACCAGGCAGTGTTTCATTCTGTTATATATAAAATTGCCATCAGTTGGAGCTGGCTTGATTGCAACTAACAACAGCGACAAAGCTGAGATGGAGCCCCCTCTCCCCAAGGGCTATGAAGGCAGCTGGAATCCATGTGCCTGGTGATGGTATTTGGAAGGACCTGACTGTGAGTAGTGTGTTAACTCCTGGCAAATAGCATAACCTTTTCATATGGATGGGAAAAGTGAGGCTAAGAACAGATAAAGGATTATTACCTCACCCTTGCCAATCCCTTAGCTTTCCAGTAAAAGCATCTCATTATCCCCTCCTGGCATCTTGAAGCAGAAGAGAGGTCTTGCTCACCAGTCTGCATGATCAAGACAACTCCCCTTCTTGTTTGCACATCTCAGGGTCCAGCAGGCAGGATAAAAAAACACACTTCTTAAAACTGGGAGCTCTGGTGGCATACTCCTAAGGCATTTGACTGCTAACCAGAAAGCTGGCAGTTCAAACCCACCAGCCACTCCTTGGAAGGATTGGGCAATCTACTTTCATAGAGATACCACCTTGGAAACCTAAGGAGGGGTCGCTATGAGTCGGACTTGACTCCATGGCAATGAGTTTGGTTTTTTAAAACTATCCCTATTTGCTGATGATATATCTTATACATAGAAAACTCAAGAGATTCAGTAAAAACACTACAGGAACTAACTGAGAGATTTAGCACAGTGGCAGGATGCAAGATCAACATACAAAAATCAGTTGGATTCCTCTATATCAGCAGGGAGATTGCTGAAAAAGAAATAAGGAAATCAATACCGTTTATAATAGCTACCAAAAAAAATAAAATACTTGGGAATAAATCTTACCAGCACAAGACCTGCACAAAGAAAACTGCAAAAGACTACTCCAAGAAACCATACGGTTTGGAAGAACATACTGTGCTTGTGGATAGGAAGATTGAACATTGTGAAAATGTCAGTACTATCCAAACCAATCTATTTATTCAATGCAATCCTAATCCAGATCCCATCAACATTCTTTAAGGATATGGAAAAACCAATCACTAATTTTATACGGAAAGGAGAGAGACCTCAGATAAGCAAAGCACTATTGAAGAAGAAGAATAAAGTAGGAGGTCTCACACTCCCAGATCTCAAAACCTACTATACAGCCACAGTAGTCAAAACTGCCTCGTATTGGTATGACAGACACATAGACCAATGGAATAGAATTGAGAACCCAGAAATAGATCCATCAACCTATGGTCAGCTGATCTTTGATAAGGGCTGAAATCCATTAAATGGGGAAGAGATTGTATGTTTAACAAATGGTGCTGGCAAAACTGGATATCCATTTGCAGAAAAATGAAACAAGATCTATACCTTATACCATACACAAAAACTAACTCCAGATGGATCAAAGACTTCCATGTGAAACCTAAAAGTATAAAGATCCTCAAGGAAAAAATTGGAGCAAATTTAGGGGCCCTAATTTATGGCAAAAATAGACTGTCAAGCATAACCCAAAATGTGCAAACAGCAGAAGAAAAACTAGATGAATGAGACCTTCTAAAAATTAAATGTTTATGTGCTTCCAAACACTTCTCCAAAAAAGTCAAAAGAGAACTTACAGATTAGGAAAAAATATTCATCAACATATCTGACAAGGGACTTATCTCTAAAATTTATAGAAAACTCCAACACCTCAACAAAAAAAAGACAAATAATCCAATTAAAAAATGGGCAGAAGACATGAATATACACTTCCCCAAAGAGGATATTCAGGTGGCCAACAAACACATGAAGAAATGTTCATGATCATTAACCATTAGAGAGATGCAAATCAAAACAACGAGATACCATCTCACCCCAGCACTAGTAGCAAAGTTCAACAAGACAGAAAATAACAAATGCTGGTGAGGATGTGGGGAGATTGAAACTCACATACACTGCTGGTGGGACTGTCAAATGATATAACCACTGTGGAAAACAGTATGGTGATTCCTTAAAAAGTTGGAATTAGAAATACCATTTGACCCAGCAATTCCATTACTAAGTATATATACTAAAGAAGTGAGAGCCAGGACATGAACAGATATATGCATACCCATGTTCATCACAGCACTATTTACAATAGCCAAAAGATGGAAGCAACCCAGGTGCCCATCAACAGAAGAATGGATAGCCAAACTATGGTACATACATACAGTGAAATACTATACAACCTTAAAGAATAACAGAATCTGCAAAACACTGCATTACGTGGATGAACTTGGAGGACATTATGCTGAGTGAAATAAGTCAATCCCAGAAGGACAAATACTGTATTAGTTCATTATTGTAAAAAGTCAAGGAAAGGCTTATATATGGAAGGAAATTTTCTTTGTTGGTTACCAGGGGTGGGAGAGGAGGGGAGAGAACACTGCTAGATAGGTAGAGACAAGTATTGATTTGAGTGAAGGGAAGGGCAATGTACCAAATGTGAGTGATCAACATGGTGGCATTGAGGTAGAAGAAGACAGAGAGAGGTACATGGGAGGTACAGACAACAAAGATGAGCCCTTTTGCACATACAGTACTGCATTATCAGTGATGGCAGACATTGATCAATGGGTGGGCAGGCTGAACGATTAGGTATGTCTGTGCAGGTGGGAGTGTGCCCATGACCATATACAGGGTTCACAGACAATGTTTCTACAAGTGTATTTGTATGTTCTATAAGAATAACAACAACAACAACAACAACAATAAGAATTTCCAGGTATATAGTAGAGCTGACAAGGGACATAGTTGTAGTCACTTCTTAGGCACATACAGCTACCCAGAGGGAGCAAGTAGTTGGACCTGTGGGCTCGGGACCATGGTCATGGAACATCAAGCTCAACTGGTATAACATACTACACAAAAACATTGTTCTACATCCTACTTTGGTGAGTAGTAACTGGAATCTTAAATGCTTTCAAGCAGCCACCTAGATGCAATGATTGGTCTCTCCTTGTCCACAGCAAAGAAGAATGAAGAAAACCAAAGACACGTGGAAACAATTAGTCCAACCAACTGGTACACCATGCAATCCTCAGCCTACATGACTATGAGACCAGAAG